TCTCATCCCTTGATTGGCAATCTCTATTCACTGGATGCAATACTATTGAAGACCATTACAACATATTTTTACTTGAAGTCAAAAGAGTCATCAAGCTATATGTACCAACAACAACTCCAAAAAAAAAAAAAAACACCCAGATTACCCATAACAATAAGGAAACTTCAATCCAGGACCAGCTCCTTGCCTAACCTATGGTCACAAGCCACGGTCATCTCCATCTTCAAAAAGGGAGACCCCAGCCTAGTTGAAAATTACAGACCAATCTCCTTATGCTGCATCACCTGTAAAGTCATGGAATCAATTATTAACTAATACATTATCCTCCACTTAGAGACAAACAACCTACTCTCCAATAAACAATTTGGTTTCAGAAAAAAAACTATCCTGTAATCTGCAACTCTTACACTGCAAAAACATATAGACTACACAACTTGATCAGGGCAAAACAATAGACGTAATCTACATAGACTTCTGTAAAGCCTTTGATTCAGTGGTACATGACAAACTACATCTAAAACTAAAATCTTATGGTATCTCTGGACAACTGCATAACTGGATAGAAGCATTCCTGTCAATCAGACAACAAATGGTCAAAATTGGGAGTGTCCTATCAAATTCTGTACCTGTCAATAGTGGTGTCCCCCAAGGCAATGTTCTAGGACCAACTCTTTTCATACTCTACATAAATGACCTCTGTGATCATATTAAGAGCAACTGTGTTCTCTTCACTGATGATGTAAAGCTGCTCAATACCACAGACAATACTGCTACCCTTCAAAAAGATCTTGACTATGTATCAGAATGGTCAAACAAATGGCAACTTCAAATCTCAACCAATAAATGCTCTGTCTTACATATTGGCAAAAAAAATCAGAAAATAAAATACAAGCTGAATAGTCAGGACCTTGTTGATGATCCAAGCTCTGTAAAGGACCTTGGAATACTCATCTCTAATGATCTAAGTGCTAGAGCCCACTGTAACTACATAGCCAAAAAGGCATTAAGAGTTGTTAACCTAATCCTGTGTAGCTTTTTCTCTGGTAATATTACACTACTAACTAGAGCATACAAAACATTTGCTAGACCAATACTTTAATACAGCTCACCAGTCTGGAACCCACATTATGTATCTGATATTAACACAGTTGAGAAAGTCCAGAAATATTTCACAAGAAGAGTTCTCCACTCCTCTACTCATTTTAGAATATCTTCTGCCACCAGACTTGAAATTCTAGACCTAGAAAACCTTGAATTATGCCATTTTCGATCTGATCTAAGTGTGGTACATAAAATCATACATTGCAATGACTTACCTGTCAATGAATACTTCAACTTCAACCATAACAACACAAGAGCACACAATAGATACAAACTCAAGGTTAACTGCACCAAACTTGATTGTAGGAAATACGACTTTAGCAACAGAGTGGTCAATGTCTGGAATACTCTATCTGACTCTGTGGTTTCTTCCCCAAAAACTTTAACCTTAGACTGTCTACTATTGACCTCACCCCTTCCCTAAGAGGTCTGCAGGGGGCGTGCATAAGCGCATCAACGTGCCTATCCTCCCTGTCCTATTGTTTCTTTTATTTTTCTTATATGTACCCATTTGATGTATTCATAACTATGTATATACTTATACCTATTATCTTGTAAGCGATTGACAAATCAAATAAATAAATAAAATGTCACATATTGCCACCATGATGACGCAAGTTTGACACCCCTAATATAGAGCACCAACAAAAGTTGGGCAATATATTACCATAGAGAAGTTAATGTCTTATGCAAAGAGTATGTATCTACAAATCTGATCTTGGAATGTGATCTTGGATATTTCAACATCTCAAATGATAATTTAGAAGAAGCACAACCATGTGTACCTTTGTGTAAATTTAATAGGTTGTATACAATACAGACATATGCTTTCCAAAGAATTAAGTAATTAAGTACTGAATTCTCAGAGGTAGAAATTGAAACTACAAGAAACAACATAAAATAGTGCTCTCTTTTTTATATGCCCGCACCACTGAAAATTTTTGAGTTTTGCTCAATATCAATAGAGCTGGTTTAATGGAAACAGACTGTTAAGCATCCTGATTTCAGGATGCTCAAAAATCTGTTTCCATTAATCCAGTTCTTTGGATATTGTTAAGCAGCTTTACTACAGGCAGAAGTCAACAAAAGTTGATTTTCCCATTGTGATGTACAAATGTCAAACTTTTTATATAAGTGCATGTCTTACATTGGAATACAAAATTATCTTTACTACATAGAATATTGAAAATTAATATTGGGTTGGAAATCAATATAAATATGTTTAGAACAGTCACATTACAACTAATTCTCAATTTTCCACCATAACTGGGATTGGAACTTCTATTCCTAAGTGAAACAGTTGTTAAGTGAGTTACTCCCAATTTTACTCCCATTTTTGCCTTGGTCTTTAATGAATCACCCTGTTGTTAGCTGAAGCATAAAGTTGTTAAATCAAGCCAGCTTCTCCCATAGATATAACTGTTAGAAATCACTTGGAACGATCTGGGATGTTATAACAATTACAAATCATTACACAAAGAAATATGGTATGTCTATTCCCACAAAAATAAGAATAATATATTAGCATTTAGATGGATAGAAGGATAGACAGATATGAGATTTACTTTGTGCTGGAAAATGAATATTTTCACTCAATGGATGAATAAGAAATGCTTCCAAGATATTGGTTTAATAATCAAAGAGTTGCCAAATGGCTGTTATATTATTCTTGATGTGCAGAATAAATATTTTGGGCAATTGTAGCTGTCATCTTGAAGAAATGTTTCTCAGTGTAGTTAACAAAATTGATGAAACGTATCATGTAATCCTCTGCAAAAAAGCTGACAAAAACTATCAAGATTTCCTTTGAAAGGTTCCTAGTATTGGGCATGGCAATACTGAAAATTCAGTGTCATCTATTGTATAAAATATATAGTATAAAGATCAGGCAGAGAGGGCATGCTACAGGTTTCCACAAGGGACCTACATTTGATCAGCCTTATGCAACATTCTCTTCCCTCCCTTATTGTCAGTGATATGTGGTTGTTAAACTTCTCTATCCATTGTGGTTCATATATTCTAATTCTTATTTTTATAAAAATAATTACTAACGTTAGTCCACATTTTTATAATAATCATTTTAAAATGGCTGGTTTTATATTGTAAAGGTAAAGATTTCCACTTTCCAATCAAGCCCAACTATAGGGGGCAATGCTCATTTTCATTTCTTAGCTGAGGAAGCAGCGTTGTCTGAAGACAATTCCCATGGTAATGTGGCCAGCATGGCTTTAAGCCAAAGGACCACAGAAAGCTTTAAATTTCCCACTAAAGTCATGCCTGTTTATCTACTTGCATTGCCATGTTTTTTAACTTCTAGATGGGCAGGAGCTTGGGCAGGAACAAGTGTTCACCCTATTGCACAGTGCTTGGATCTTGAACCCAGGCTGTCAGCTCACTGAGCAATCAATCCCCTTTTTATATTGTAGTTCCATCTAATTGTGCTATACCATCCAGAGTAACTTCTGATGAGATGGTCAGCTATACAAAATGAACGAATGAATGAATGAATATAAATTTGGTGTTTCAAATAAGTGAAAATCTATAATAGACTTTTATATTCATCAACTCATGTGCTGTAGACATTAACATCCAGCCATCATGGTTAGGGCAATATGGGAGCTGTAACTGCAGCCTAACACTATTGGAAGATAGCAAAGCATAGGAAACACACAAGGGCATTAGATCCAGGGGTGGGATTCTACCAGTTCACACCTATTCGGTAGAACTGGTTTTTAACATTCTAAGCAGTTCGGAGAACCAATTACTGGCCTAATCCTGTAAGGAAGGCAGGAAGGAAACATTCTGGTGTTGCTTACAGAAACTGACTCTCCAATAACCCTTATTACATTCTTGGCAGGACTAGACCTTCCTGTCTCAGGAACTTCTCTGGAGTTTTTTTTCCCCCTCCTTTGCTGGTGCTTTGCTTGTGTGGAGTGACCATTCAAAGTTACAATGGCACTGAAAAAAGTGACTTATGACCATTTTTCACACTTACAACTGTTGCAGCATCCCCACAGTCATGAGAGGCCAGGCGAGGAAATGTGTGCATCAATGTGAGTGCTATTGAGTTGGCCACACCCAGCCAATAACCAAGCCACACCCACCAACTAAACCATTCTCACAGAACCAGTTGTTAAAAATTTGAATCCCACTCCTGATTAGATCTTTATACTTTATTCCAAAATCATGGGTAGAATTCCCTTATATAATTTGCAGATTACAGTTCAGATCAGGAATTTAAAATGTGTGGGGTGTGATGATACATAGCTGTCAAGCCCAAAATTGACATATGTGTAGCCATTTTAGTTAAGCTTAGTATATATTCATTTTCTTACTTTCTCCTTGACAGTCATGAGGGAAGAGTTTCGGGCTTGCCACATTCCTAAGTGGGGAAGGAGCGGAGATAGAGCTGTTTAGGCGAGGTGATTCTTCTTCCTGTGGGAAAACGAGCTGTCTGTGCTTCAGCTTAGTTTTTATTGTTGTATATTAAGCTTTTGTTTCTTGTAAGGCTTCCAGACTCTCAGACAATGAGTGGCAGCCTGATAAAATTTCTAAACAAATGAATTAACTTTTACTACATTTATTAAAAACATTATTATTATTTATTTGTGGATTGTATTCCTTTATTATAATAGCAATAGCAATAGCACTTAAACTTATATACTGCTTTATAGTGCTTTACAGCCCTCTCAAAGTGATTTACAGAGTCAGCCTATTGCCCCCAACAATCTGGGTCCTCATTTTAGCCATCTGGGAAGGATGGAAGGCTCAGTCAACCTTGAGCCTGATGGGATTGATCTGCCAAATTGCAGTAGGAGTAGCTTGCAGTACTGCACTCTAACCACTGCGCCACTGAGGTTCCTATTTGTTCATCACTAAAATCAGAAAATTTTCTGTTGCTACATTGTTATTCTTCTTAGTTGTACCTTACTGTTCAGTTCTGGTTTTCTTATCATAATATAACACTTGGGGAAGAAAATACAAGCCAGTAGTCCACCACTGGAGCACAAAATTGAAAATATCTCCATGGCCACCATATATTTCCCCTTTGTGCTCAAGTATGTTGGAACAAAGGTGAGCCAAACACTGCTAAACAACAGCATGCTAAAGGTAATAAATTTGGCTTCATTAAATGTGTCAGGTAACTTTCTGACCAGGTAAGCCGCCATGAAGCTGATAGCTGCCAGGAAACCCATAAAACCAAGGACACAGTAGAACATGATGGTTGACCCTTCATTACACATCAATACAATTTCCTTTGGCATGGAATACATGTCAACATCTAAGAATGGAGGTGAGATTGATAGCCATACAATACAAATAATGGTTTGAATAAAAGAGCAAGAAAGGACAATAGAAAGACCTAGTCTCTTTCCCATCCATTTTCTAATTCTTGACCCTGGCTTGGTAGTCATGAAAGCTAGAATTACTATGATAGTCTTTGCCAAAATGCTAGAAATTGTCATGGAGAAGATGATGCCAAAAGTAACTTGCCGAAGAAGACACGTCCATTGATGAGGCTGGCCAATAAATAGCAAGGTGCAAAGAAATGAAAGTAGGAGGGAGATGAGAAGAATATAGGTGAGGGTCTCATTGTTGGCTTTCACAATAGGGGTGTCATTATGTTTAATGAAAAGCCAGAGCAGCAAAATAGTAATGACTGAAAAGGAAATAATAAAGCTGGTGAAGGTGATCCCCAAAGGTTCTTCATAGGACAAAAATGTTACATATTTTGGAATGCAGAAATCTTGATCCTCATTGGGATAATGATCTTGTGGACATTGCAAGCAGTTGTCCATGTCTGAAAAAAACAGCAACAACCATCCAGAACTAGAATATTGTAATAAACCAATAAAATACATATTTTACAAAACCTTAAACAATACAACTTAGCTTGAAATGGGGCCAAATAAAGAAACTAATCCCCCTTTTTGTCTTCTGAGCAATTTATTTGCATATTTATTTATTTTCTGTTTGTTTCATATTATTTATAAACTTCCACAGTCAGATCAAATGACTGTTTAAACAAGTAAAAGAAGATCAGATGGCCTTATTTGGACTGGGAAATTATCTAATCTAGCAACTTTCTTCCCCGTTCCTTTTCCATTTTAGTCATTTATTTATAAAAGCTTCTTTTGACCCAAAGTGCTTTTCTAAAAGCAATTGGACCTTCTTGGTGAAAAGTCCAGTTGTCTTTTGGGACAACCATAATTTGGATGATGGAGAATCTCCATAGACTTCTTCTCATGAGATATTTGAAGATAAATTCAGATTTTTTTAAACCTCTGAGGGTTGTGCCAGTGTCAAAGTTTAGCTAAATATATATCCACATCTTAGTCTACAAAGTCCAAATTTATTTTTGCCTGGAGCACAGACTGGGTGTCATTTCTGTCTGTGATATTTCTTACCCTTGTGATTTGAAATCTTCCCTTCTGGACAAGGTATACAATGATAACAGCAAAATGGCTTTCCTTCTTGTTTGACCTTGCTATAACCTGAATGGCAACTGGGATTGCAAAGAGAAGGGGGCTGTGTCTATTCAGAAAAGACATAAAATAATTTTCTTCTTTTATAAATGTGTATGTCAACAGTATCTTTATTTCTCATTGTCTGTAGTTTTTTAGAAGGAAATTCTTTAGGAGTTCTAGCTCCAAATATAAAACTTAAAGTTTTTGAGAATATAATTGCATGAATAAATATATTGTCTTGTTATAAATAATATAATATAAATAGTATTTAATGTAAATATAGGTCCTATTGGTACACAAAATTAAAATCCCTTTCAAGAGTTTCTGGAGAGTTTAATGAGTCAATGTAAAATCACACATATATGATTTTACCAATCATATCACTATTTTTTTAAATCAGAAAAACTCTAATCTCCCCAGGAGGAATGAATTTGTACTATATAAATTGGCAATGGATATAATCAGAAACACTTTTGCTGGAACTCTGACTGCTTTTTAAAAATGCTTCTTCCATTGCTGCATTTTTCTTTGATGATAGAAGTCATGGATTTTTTTAAAAAAAATGTCTGATCTTAGTAACATCAAAAGGATGATGTTCTTATGAATTTCTTAGAAAAATGCAACATGATTTGCATTTTTGCTCCCAGAAGAAGAGAAAACATTTCTGCAGCAGGATTAAAATTGTATTCATGCAGCTATAAAGCTTCTTTCCTATAGTTGTGTGTTGACTGGTTTTAGTCTATCGAAGGAGAGACAATTACTATAATAACCTCAGTTTAGCAAAACTCTTTTTTTGACTACAGTATATACTTCTCTATCTCATATCCCTGTCTAGAAGAGCAATTGAAAATTAGTTTTCCCATGGAAAGGATGGGAGATAGAAGGAAGAGATTCCACTTGTTGTTTCCCTTACAATTCATGTGGCAAGCAACACATATCTTTTTCCAAGTCAAAGTAAATATAGAATGTGGAAGCATTATTTTTTATATTAATATACTTTCCTCCCAAATCAAAGATAGGTGGAAGGCACATTGCCATACATATGAGGAAAAGATCAATATGAGACATAAGCCTACCTGATTAAACCTGTGTGTCCACATTATGGTTTTCTCTGAAATAGTGAACATTTCTTCTTTAGAAGACAGGGGTTGTAGCTGTCCAACTTTGACTCTAAAGAAGGATTGGTTGGGGAATATAACCCAATTGATGATATCAAATCCAGTTTCCAGTTCCCCATTTGGAGAGAAGTAAAGTGTTTCCCCAACACTGTTATTAAAGAAGACATGTCTCACAAAATAGTTCAGCTTAAGAAAGGAAAAAGAAATGAAGGAGAGGGAGCGATTCATCGGTATATAGTAAAGGATGTTAATCTCTCCCCATTTGAATTTGATCTCCTTAAAGATCTATTCCATGTTAAACAGAAGAAGAAGGCAAATAATATGAGCCAGAATGGTATTGCACTGAAAGAGGAAATGATCATGAAGCCTGAATTAAGAACACTTTTGCAGGAATGCTAGGCCTGACCCCTGAATAGACATTATACATTAGGACATTCTATGGTGATTGTCATTGATTTATATTCATGTCTTTATAATGGGCAGTAGGAATATCCTGAAGGAACAGGAGGAAAAGCAAAAACCAAGACAGTGGTAAGACAAAAGAAATTTGAGTTTGAGGTTAATAAAAAAATAATAATATAAGAAAGTGTCTCAGTAATGACTCTGGCTCTCTAAAAGATAAAAAAAAAGAGTGAGCATCGGAGGAGGTGAATAGACATGTCCCAGGGTGATGTTTCAGAATCCAATCTGGGTCAGTCACCGGGACCAGAGGTTTAGTTTTCTGAGCTTTTAGACTCATGCTGGTCCATCTTCAGGGAACTTATTTCTAGCAAAGTGTATCCTGTGGGCTGTTCTCTGTGTGGTATTTATACAGTGCCTGTTGAATGTGCCTTTTAGAGGTTGATTGGGGTGTTAATGGCTGGCTATTAAGTCATTGGTTGTTGTTTGCTTGTGCTGCCAAGACCTTGCATCCTAAGTATTTGATAAGCTAGTGGTAAATCAGCCCTCTTGTTCACTGATGAGGTTTCCCAGGCTTCAATCACTTCCTGGATGCTTTGTGCCTACTCGTCCAACAATCTTAGTAGCTACAAAATTGAATGTATGTCCTTTTCATTACAGAGTTTGAATCTCCTCATCTGACAGCTCACTTGTGTTCTTGCAATCTGGTGGTTATCTTCCTCCCTGTCTTCCTATGTAGTCATGGGGGCAATCTATACAGTGGGAGACATGTACTCAGAGTTGAAAGATTCTGTTACTGGAACATTAAAATAAAAATATTATATTTATAATCCTAACCCTAATCTGATCCATTTCAAAAGGGTGAAAGATTTACCACCTCATAATGATGTGCCAAAGGGAAAAGAGAACCTCCCTCAAGATGATTTCCCACATATCAGCTTGCACAAACTATTACCTTCCAGGCAAGTTGATTGAAGATCTGTCTTCCTTTATGAACCCTTGATGTCTTCTTGACTTCCAATGAAAGCATAGCATACAAAGCATATGCCACAACATAGACTGAATTATAAATACTGTAGCTATGGGCAGTCATGCTTGTTTCAAAAACAGATGAAGGAAGTGTCTCCAGCTTCTCTACACCAGTGCAGGTCACTGTGGCTTGACTGTCCAATGTGGATCCAGGAAACAAACATTCAAATGCTTCTTCCCAGAAGGGCTGAATAAAATCATTTCTGTCTTCTTTTACCAAGATAAGTTTTCTCATATGAAGAAACTCCTGGAATCCTAATATCTCCTTTGAATGGATTGCAAAGCTGAGAGCACCATGGAGGAAGTCTATATTCTCATGCTTTTGAAAGGGAAGAGATGTGAATTCCATCTGAGCTGACATAACCCAAACTTTGGATACTGCTATTTCTGCGATATTCTCATATTTTAATATGGTGGGAAACATCCTTATAAATACCATGGTCTTAATATCACCATAAATAATAGAAACATTAGCAGTGCTTTCTGTTACAACATGGTATGTTTGAAATCCTTCTGTCACCATCTTATCAAAGTTATCAACAAAAGTGATTATTGGGAATCTTTCAATGAAATCAAAACAGATTCCTTTCTTGGAAAACATGGGAATAACTTTCTGAATAAACCTCTCTCCATTGTCATCATTGTCATATAATACCCCAATCCACCTCCACTGGAAATGTAAGAGTAACTGAAGAATTCCTCTGCATTGTCTGTTGACATTTGGGAACATCTGGTGGTACAAAGCAATCTGAGTTTTCCTACTTAAATCAGCAGAAGAACCATAGGTGAACTAAAATAGGAAAAGAAGAAGAAGAAAAAGAGGGCATGGGGCAGTGATCTGAAAATTGATTAAATATTTTAATTTCAATTAGATTCAGTGAGTATGGATGAATCGGGGCTACTAGCTATACCATTTGGTAATAAAGGTCATTATTCCATTTGGAATCTCTATAAAATATTGGAATAACCTAGATAATCAGTTTGGTGTAGTAATAAAGGAACCAGGCTATAAACCAGGATGCCATGAGTTGTAGTCTTGCCATAGGCACAAAGTATCTGATTGACCATGGGCCAGTCATTTTCTCTCAACACTAGAAAAAGGGTAATGATAAATTACTTAGAAAAGCCTTGCCAAGGAAGCTGTATGGATTTGTCCAGAAAATTGCCAATGGTTGAGAATCACTTGAAGATATGGAATCAATCAATCAGCAATCAGTGTATAGGTTACAAAAATGCCAAACTGAAGACATTTAAGTCAAAATACTTTGTTATGAGTGGCAATACTTCGAATAAAAAACATATAAAATTTTGGATGCTCTATCTCAGCACTACATGGAGAAATTGCAAAATATCTATGTATATCAGGTTGCTTCAGCTGGTATGTTTTTCTGTTAATGTTGCATCAATGAATCCATGTTAATTTTGTGTATAAATAAGCAAAGACCACCTTGTTTGATCATAGTATACTTCACTTTATACTTACCATAACCAAACATTAACTTTTTATGCTTTTAGAAAACATGCTCTGATAACAAGAAATCTTTGAATAGTAACAAAGGAGAATATTTGTAGATCAGGATTGAAATGACGGGACTTTGGTGATCTCTGAGTTTGCTTGTTTTCTTGCAGATGTTTCATTACCTAAACTAGGTAACATCATCAGTGTTAGTAAGGAGTGCAGTTTGCTGTCAATTTATATGCAAGTAGTTTGGCTGTCAGTGTTGGTCCTAGAGATTCTTTAGTTCTTTTTTGTTCATTTATTTTTGGATTTAGCCTGGTCTAAGATTATCACATTTTTCCAGTTGAAACTATTGTTAAAGCTGTCTATATGTTGTGAAATTAAAGAATTTTAATGTTTTCTGATGGCTAGTTGGTGTTCATGGATGAATTCCGCCAGTCTTCTGCCTATTTGCCCTAAGTAGTAGTTGTTGCAGTCCTTACATTGTGTGTTATAGATTACTTCTGGGGTTTTTTTTAAATTCTTTTTAGGGTTTGTGATAGTTATGCTGTATTGGGCTGAGTGGTCAGGGACTTTTTGATAAAGTTGCAGTCACAGTCCTGTTCATGTCTACAGATCCAGAATTAGGCAAAGTATCCATGGCCACATTGCTCCACAGAACACCTGATTTAATCAAATACACAAAGATCAAAACACCCAGGATTATGGCTCTCATAAACTTCTGTTTAACTACTCAACCCAATACAGCATAACCAACCCAAACCCTAAAAGAATTACCCTGCCATACATCAAAAATATCTCAGAAACCACCAACAGACTTCTACGAACACATGAAATCAGTGTAGCACACAAGCCAACTAAAGCTGTTCAAAATTTCCTAAGTAGACCAAAAGACCTCTAACAACTCTAGAAGAAAAAAACAGGAGTCGTCTTCAACATACAATATAAGGACTGCAACAACCACTATTTAGGACAAACTGGCAGAAGACTAGCAGAACACATCCATCAATATCAGTTAGCATTCAGAAGACATGATGAAAAATGTTTAATTTCACAATATATAGACAGATTTAATCACAGTTTCAATTGGGAAAATGTGACCATCCTAGACTGACCCATGTCCAAAAATGCCAGGGAATTTCTACAAGCTGGCACTCTGACAAATCAGCCATTAATAGATACATAGTCAGGCAAGCCATTTGAATATAAACTGACATTTCCTCTCTGAATAGTGTTGTTTCATCCTGATTATAAGTAATATTCTTCTTGCTGATTGTTTTTATAAATTGGCTGGCTTAATTGAATAATGGTTCCATCTTCTCTTAAACAATATTTCATAGGAGAGGGAGAACTTCTATATTTGTTTCATAACTTATTTCTGAAAAATAGAATAATTGGTTTGTAAAGCCATGTCAAACATATCTGTGTGTATCAAATAGCTCTGTCCCAAAATAATTAAATTATATGCATTTTTCCTACAGAGAAATCCTAAAGGTCAAGTTCGAATTATTTCTCATTTTGTCATGTTAGTCAATATTAAGGACAAATCTTACTTTGGTTAGATTGTGAACTAAAACAGAAAAGCTGCAGGATGTCTCTTCAAAGGGACTCTTAGGTACCACATTTTATCCTGATTTTAATGCTATTTTGTTAATCAAGTTTATAAAGGTAAACATTTCCCTATCCAGTCATGTTCAACTCTAGGGCATGGTGCTCATCTCTGTTTCTTGGCTGAGTGACTCAGTGTTGTCTAAAGTCATTTTCTTTGGTCATGTGGTCAACATGGCTATATGCCAAAAATGCATGGAATGCTGTAACCTTCCCATGAAGTGGTGCCTATTAATCTACTTGTATTTGCATGCTTTCAAACTGCTAGGTGAGCAGAAGCTGGAGCAGGAATTGGAGCTCTCCCTGTTGCATGACACTTGGGTCTTGAACCAAGGCTGTCAGTTTTCCAGCTGACAAGCTGAACTGCTAAGCCATCATGCCCCTAATCAAGTTTATTCACTGATCCAAAACCCAAGTCATTATTTATGATAGCACAGACAAATCCTACTCTGTCTAACATCAAACGCTATGAACCAAGGATTCCTTCAGAACTATTTTTAATATGAAAATATTTTAATAAATACTTCCTCATTGCTGAAATATCAAGGTGTCATTATTTTAATTAGTGATGATTTGGATGACAACTTATCTTAATGCCCCAAAAAGGTATGTGTGGGTTTAGGAATAATAACATATGAAAATTAAATTTAAAAAGAGAAGAAAATATCTTACTTGTGGAACCTTGTAAATGGACAGGATAGCTGACATGTGGATAAAGATTTCTGAATTAGGCCCTCCAATGACTGATACTGGATTGTTCTCTGTATCACACTTGTAGTTAGGAATGAACTTGCCTTGTGTTGAGAAGAGTTCCATTGAGGCATGATATGTCCAGCTTGCAATAAAATGGCTGTTATAGATATGGAAGCCCAGAGTGAAATTGGGCAAAATATGATGATTTTTATTGATCTCCTTTACAGCAAATGCCAAAGACAAAATGTGTTGGTAGAGCTGAGTCACCACCCTGAAATGAAGTTTAAAGGCTGACTTCCAGAGAGATGGCATATATTACAAAGCAATAAGGTTTCTGGCTAATAAATTCTATTTGGTCATTTTATCTAATTTTAATAACCCTGAACAAATATTGATTTATATATCTAAAAAGATGTTGAGACTCTAGAAAGAGTGCAGAGAAGAGCAACAAAGATGATTAGGGGACTGGAGGCTAAAACATATGAAGAATGGTTACAGGAACTGGGTATGTCTAGTCTAATGAAAAGAAAGACTAGAGGACACATGATAGCAGTGTTTCAATATCTCAGGGGATGCCACAAAGAAGAGGGAGTCAAGCTATTCTCCAAAACACCTGAGGATAGGACAAGAAGCAATGGGTGGAAACTAATCAAGGAGAGAAGCAACTTAGAACTAAGGAGAAATTTTCTGACAGTTAGAACAATTAATCAGTGGAACAACTTGCTTCCAGAAGTTGTGTATGCTCCAACACTGGAAGTTTTTAAAAAGAAGTTGGATAACCATTTGTCTGAAGTGTACGGTTTCCTGCTTAAGCAGGGCGTTGGACTAGAAGACCTCTAAGGTCCCTTCCAACTCTGTAATTCTGCCTTTCATTTGTTTATCAAATTTATTTCCCACTGATCTCATGTTTCAAGATGACCCTGTCAATGTTCACCAACTACATATATATTAAACATTTTAAACCATACCATAAAATGAGCCACCCAAACCACAAATACCCAAAATGTTAACTTAATCATATTGTACGTATATGGTGAGACTGCACACAATTTTACATCCAAATGTTTGGTTGCATCTGATAATCAAAACATTCCTAAGCAATTGCAGTGTTTATGAATGGGGATTTGCACAGTCAATCTGTGACTTTATAAGGGAAAGAGGATGGAAGGAAAGATTAGCAAAAGAAGATTCAGACAGAATAGAGCAAAACTTTCACAAATACATTTTATGTTTCTTACTCAGTTTCATAAAAAAGTTCAGTAGAAGGTCGTTCCTGAAAGGTTATTGTGTTTGAAAATATGTAGATCTGAGACAAAATTCCACCAATGATAATATCTCCTAACTGATAGTATTTATGAAGAATTGGAAGAGGCTCACTGATGATGCAATTCATGTGAGGAATATTGCAGAGCACATCGGGCAAAAATATTACAACCAGGATGAAAACTGACATAATTCTTTTTTTGGGCGGGGGGTGTATCACTTTGTTTGACTTCACATTATCTCTTATTGAATTCTTTGCTAAATAGCATAGCCTCATTTGAAAGACTACTCTGGTTTAGGTGGCCTTTATAGTCAAATAAACATTTTTAATTTTAAAAAGTGTTACTTCAAATCCAGATCAGAATGGTACACCTTTGTCTTTGATTACAATTTTGTTTTAATATCTCACTTGCCCAGGGACTTGTAAAAGAAACAGAAATAATTGGGAATAATTTGATAATTACCTAAAAGATAATTAGTTTTTTTATACTTACACGTTCTCTGAAATCTTACAGAAATGTTTATTGTATCTCTATCTCCAAGTCTAGCTGGGAATTGCACGCAGTTCAGTTTTGATTTTCAGTTTTGGTGCTTATTGTAGCTCTCTTGAGACATGGAGAGAACTAAGTTTGATGATAATTTAATAATGACAAGAAACATCATGTTTATATTTCTTACGATTAACACAGGTGGTTTTGCAAAGAGGTATCAAAGAAGAAAACATTTTATTAGCAAATGTCTTTGTGTGTGCGTGCGCATGGACTAAGGAAGAATAAGAATAAGAAGTTTATTCCCATGGAAAGTTACCAAAACAATGTATGCTAAATGAGAAGCTTGCTTTCATGTTACATATTTTGAATGGTACTAATGTTGTATCTGTGTCATTTTAGAGGGTGGATGTTTCAAACTCTGAAATACAACAAACATGGCAGAGGAAGCATAGCCAAATGATGAGGCAATTGGACAGCAAGATAAGCAATAGCTGTCTTCTATTTCATTCTTAGAAGTGAGGAAGTCCACCCTTGCTAGCAAAGCAGCCTCCCATTCAGCTTTTCTGAAAGTAAACAAGATCTCAATTATCTTCTCAGTTCTATCTAGCTGAGTTAAATTCAAAGAAAATAAAGAGAACTTTGACCAAATCCGTGAATGGGGATGAAAAGTTTATCTTTGGTCACCATCATCCTAAAATTTCTTCAGGATATAAAAAAAATCCTTCTCAATATGACTGTGAAGCTTCAGTTTCTTCCTTTGGTTCATGGCAACATTTTAGTTTTCAGTACGTTCTTTTCATTAGTAGATGACTCTTGCTTAGTTCAGGTCCAAATACAATGGTAAAGTAGACTTGAATAAAGAAAAACAAACACTGTGGAACAAAAACATGTCAAGGGTAACAAATTTGGCTATGTTGAAATTATCAGATAATTTCCTGGCTAAAAAGGCTGACAAGAAGTCAACAAGGGTCAATGAGACCACGAATCCCAAAACACAACGGAACATGGTCACAATCCTTCATTGTGTTGCACTACAATTCCCTGAAATATTGAATGTTTATACAAATGTGGAAATGATGGGACCATGATCACCTATGAGGCACAAATGGTGGCTTGAAAAGAGAGCAGTAAAATACAACAGACTTCACTTCCTCCCTTCATTTTTTTCATTTTAGACCCAGACTTGGTAGCCAACAATCTGGAGCAGGGCGGTCAAACTCCTGGCCCATGGGCCAGATGTGTCTTGTATTGGCTACGTCCATGCCCATTTAGTGAAGGGGAAAATAGTACCAATATGTCACATGATGCCACCATGACAACATGAGTGTGACACCCCTGATCTAGAGCAACAACAAAAGTAGGGCAGTATATCACCATAGAGAAGTTAATGTATTATGCGAAGAAAGAGAATGTGTCTATCTACAAATGAACCAGAAGCATATTGGAGCATTATGAAAATAACAAATTTCTAGGGGTGTCAATCATTTTGTAGAATCTACAGTTTTGAAATGGATTAATGATCAGCAGTGCAATATTGTAATGATTTCATTTAGAAAGAGATGTAGATTGACAGTGAACTAGAATTATGTTTATGGCATGTACAGTAGATAATGATTACCATTGCTATGCCATGATGATAGTTATAGCCATAATCTAGTATAGATAGAAGATAGATTGTGAAAAATGGGGCGTGGAATTCTTTTCAAAATCATGGCTTGAAGCCATCCCTGATGGAGGAATGTTGAGGACTATCAAGACCATTTTTGGATCTTGGATATTTCAATATCTCAAATGATAATTTAAAAGGAAGGCAAGGATGTTTGTCCAGTCCTCAATGGAACTGCATCTACATGAAGAGAAGTATGCAATGGAGTACTCCAAGGTTCTGTTTTAGGCCCAGTACTCTTCAACATCTTCATCAATGACTTGGACAAAGGGATAGATGGGGAACTCATCAAAATTCCATATGACACCAAGCTGGCAGGAATAGCCAACACTCCAGAAGATAGGCTTAAGACACAGAAGGATCTTGACAGACTTGAACATTGGGCGCTATCTAACAAAATGAAATTCAATGGTGAAAAAAGTAAGGTAACATTTAGGAAAAGTAAGGTTCTACATTTAAGAAAAACAAAATGCACAGGTACAGTGGTATGTGGTACCTTGCTCAACAGTAATAATTGTGAGAGGGATCCTAGTGGACAGCCATTTAAATATGAGCCAGCCTTGTGCTGTAGTTGCCAAAAAAGCCAATGGAGTTCTAGGCTTCATAAACAGAGGGATAGAATCAAGATCATGGAAAGTGTTAATACCACTTTATAATGCCTTGGTAAGGCCACACTTAAAATACTGCATTCAGTTTTGGTCACCACGATGTAAAAATACATTGAGATTCTAAAAAGAGTGCAGAGAAGAGCAACAGGAACTGGATATGTCTAGTCTAGTGAAGAGAAGGACTAGGAGAGACATGATAGCAATTTTCTAATATTTCAGGGGCTGCCACAAAGAAGAGGGAGTCAAGCTATTCTCCAAAGCACCTGAGGGCAGGACAAGAAGCAATGAGTGGAAACTAATCAAGGATAGGAGCAACTTAGAACTAAGGAGGAATTTACTGACAGTTAGAACAATTAATCAGAGGAATAACTTGCCTACAGAAGTTGTGAATGCTCCAACACTGGAAGTTTTTAAAAAGATATTGGATAACCATTTGTCTGAAGTGGTATAGGGTTTCCTGCCTAAGCATGGGATTGCACTAGAAGACCTCCAAGGTCTGTTCCAACTCTGTTATTCTAATCTATGTGTAAACTTAATAGGTTGTATACAATACAGACAATCATTTCCAAAGAATTAATTACTGAATTCTCAAAGTACTCAAAGAATTAAGTACTGAATTCTCAATTCTGGAGACTGAAACTACAATAAAGGAGAATAGTGTCTAATAGTGTTCTCTTTTCTATATGTACATACTTCACTGCAAATATTTGAGTTTTGCTCAATATCCTAAGAGCTGGCTTAATTGAAACAGACTCTTAGACATCCTGACTTCAAGATGCTTAAGAATCTGTTTCCATTAATCCAGCTCTTGGGATATTGGTAAGCAGCTTTACGACAGGCCAAAGACATATTACAAAGTTGATTTTCTCATTGTGATCTACAAATGTTCATGCTTTATAATAGGATAGGATGGGATGGGATGGGATGGGATGGGATGGAATGGAATGGAATGGAATGGAATGGAATGGAATGGAATGGAATGGAATGGAATAGAATAGAATAGAATAGAATAGAATAGAATAGAATAGAATAGAATAGAATAGAATAGAATAGAATAGAATAGAATTCTTTATTAGCCAAGTGTGATTGGACACACAAGGAATTTGTCTTTGGTGTATATGCTCTCAGTGTGCATAAAGAAAAAAATAAAGTACATTCATCAAGAATCATAAAATACAACACTTAGTGATAATCATAAGTTACTAATAAGCAATAAAAATATACCAGGAAACAAATAAAACAATATAAATTGTAAAGATACAAGCAACACAGTTATAGTCATAAGTGGGACTAGGAAGGATGACAAGAATAATAGTGATATTGTCTTAGTAAATAATTTGACAGTTTTTTGGGAATTAGTTGTAAGCATCCTTGTGTGTAATTGTTCTGGTGTGCAGTGCCCTAAAATTGGAATATAAATTAATTCTTCTGATACTTCTAAATTATTGCAGATATAGACAATATATTGATGCCTTCCAAAGATACTCTATCTATAATGGCACTAGAATTCTATCAGACTTTGAAAATGCTTTATTATATCTTCATTACATAGAATATTAAAAATCAATGTAAATATGTTTAAAGCAGTCATATTGCAACTAATTCTGAATTTTCAATCATAATTGGGACTGCAACTTCTATTCCTAAGTGAGGCAGTTGTTAAGTGAGTCACTCCCAATTTTACTCTCATTTTTCCATGGTCTTAAATGAATCACCCCAGTTGTTAAATGAAGCATAATGTTGTTAAATTAAGCCAGCTTCCCCCACAGACTATGTTTCTCAGAAACCACTTGAGAAGGTCTGGAATGCTGTAACAATTGTAAATTGTAGGATCACTTATAAGCCACTTTTTTCCAGCACTCTTTTAACCTTGAATGGTCACTAAACAAATGGTTCAAAGTCAAGGACTACCTGTATTCTACACAATAATAAATTCAGTACATCTGATCACATTGTAATAAAAGTACTTTGAAAAAAGTACTTTGTCTTAATGTGGTGCAATGTGCTGTGATGACAAGTCGGTGGACTTTGAGTTTTTTGACCTCATCTCATTCAAACAGAATTTGCGTTAGTTACTGGTAATAATTTTTCAGGATTTAAAAATTATCTCTTCATGAGCAAATGCTTACTGTTCTGTTCAGGTTTGAACAGAATGATAAAGCATTTGGGGGCAAAAATACAACCCAACAAGCCAGCACTGGAAGATAAGATGGAGAAAATCTCCACAGCCACCATATATTTTCCTTTGGTACTCAAGTAGCTTGGAACAAAAGATAACCAAACACTGCAGAAGACAAACATGCTGAAGGTGATGAATTTGGCTTCATTGAAACTGTCAGGTAATTTCCTGGCTAGAAAAGCTGCAGAGAAGCTGACAATGGCCAAGAAGCCCATAAAACCCAAGACACAGTAAAACATGGTCACTGATCCTTCATTGCATTCTAGTACGATTTCTTGAGACATTGAATGTTTCTCAGAATCTGGGTATGGTGGGAATGTCATCAGCCATGAAGCACAAATGATGGCTTGAACAAGAGTGCAGGAAAATACAATGGAGCTCACCATTTTTTTCCCCACCCACTTCCTCATTTTTGACCCAGGCTTGGTAGCCATGAATGCTAAGACAACCACAATAGTTTTGGCCAACAAACAGGAAACTGCCACTGAGAAGATAATACCAAAAGCTGGTTGTCGAAGAAGACATACAAATTTATTTGGTCTCCCAATGAATAACAAGACACAAAGGAAAGATAGTAGAAGAGAGATGAGGATAATGTAGGTGAGATTCCTGTTGTTGGCTTTGACAATGGGAGTGTCCCTGTGTTGAATGAAGATCCTGAGCACATAAGATGTGATGAAAGCAAAAGAAAGAGCACAAACAGCCAAACTTATTCCCAGAGCATCTTCATATGATAAGAATGTGATGACTTTTGGAATGCATGCATTTTTGTTGTGATTTGGGTATTGATCTTCTGGACATGGAGAACAGTCAGCTGTGTCTAAAAAGAACAATCAAAAATCAATTTATAATCTGTTCCACTAATCATTATATGTCCTGTATTGAGGGAACATGGTCATGATGTACTTTGTATTGTATTGACCTTGAACTTGAGAACAGTTATCTGTGCCTAAACTAACCACCCAAAATTTATTTATAGCCTATGACGCATTCACAGAATGGGACAAGGCACTCAAGCTGAGATGTGAAAATGAAAACGAGACCAAAGAAACAAATAAATGCCCCAAACAAAATATGCTGGAAATAACACGGGAGATTATCTCTCAGTTTCCCAATAAGCATAGCATCAATGGGAGGAATAAAAAGATAGCCATGCTAACTTATCCTTTGGTCCAAATTGTATGCAACCAGACACAAAGGTGTGTTTATGTGCAATTGGTAACATTGAAAAACTCTGATTTAAAGTTATTTTGGCCAGGGATGATTGAAAAGGACTATAATACTAAAAAGTTCTGATCCACTTTACAGTGATGTTCAAATACAAGTTTATCCACTTAATACCATAGGGACCTTGATTTGAACTGCCAGTTTACTGAAGTGCTTAAAGATGGATTGTGTAGAAGTGGGTAAAATGTGAATTCCAGTACTCCCTTTTGAGATGAAAAATAGTTGGGTGACTTGAGACCATTCACTGCCTGTCAGCCACAGAAAGAAGACACAGTCAAACCACTTCACAAATATTGCCAAAAATGTATGGAAATTACTCCTTTCTTGTCAGGGAAGAATCCAGCCACTGAAGATCTCAATAGGAAACTCAAAGCTCGGGTGAATTAATATGCAGTATTGTAAACGAACTGTTCACTGCCAGGAGTTTAAGTCTTTTGATCCTGACTTGCTCAATGTGGACTCAGCCTTCCACCCCTTTAAAGTGGATAAAATGAGGACCCAGAATGTTGGGGCAATATGACGACTCTATAAACCACAGGCAGTTAGGCTGTTTTGCTCCCCCCACTCATTCCTGATCCTGCCTTTCTGCAGGGATGGGATTCAAAATTTTAAAAAACTGGTTCTGTGGGCATGGCTTAGTTGGTGGGTGTGACTAATCAGGCAGGGTGCCAGAGCACCTTGAGAATTAAAATAGTTAAAATGCAATGATAACTATCAGCAGCCAACTTTTGCTCATAAAGTGAAACCCTTTACCATTTAAGTTTTCCAGAAAGAGCACACCCAGGAAAAGCAATTCTTAGATCCATTTGCACCACTTAAAGACACCAGCTGGTCTCACTCACCTCACAAGATATCCTAAGGAAATCATCCAGATTTAAGGAAAGGTCACATGCCCCCCACCCCCCCGGAAGGCAGTAAAAAATCAGTGCCAAGCTTGCATTCTGCCTTTTGGAAGTACACCCCAAAAGGACAGTGTCCGATACCACTAAAGCAGTGAAGGAAGGTTCCCTCCCCAGATAGAAAAAGAAACCATGAGGCAGGAAAAAATTTGAACACAATACAAATAATTAAATTACAACAGTAGGTGTTGCTTGTTAAACCAATTACCAGAACAAATAGACACAGGAACCAGCCAGATTTCTCAACCCAGTTTCTTTTCAGGAATAGAGCTTAATCTTTTTCCTTCCAAACAAAGCTGAATAGGGAAAATTCCCCACCAATATACACAGGATTAAACTTCACCAAGGACAGAATTAAACTTCCCCAAAAACCAGTTTTAGACCAAAACTCAGAAAGGGTATGTAAACTCATGTTTGAATATCAAGCTTTCTAGGAAGCCAAGAGGCCTTGTTGTATGTCACTCATATTGGTTCCTTGTCATTAAAAAGCTTCTTTGTGCATCTCTGCTTGCAGTGTAAAAAGCTTAAAACAACCCTTCCCCTTTAAGAAAATATCAAAAAAGAAAGAAAAAAACTCCTTCAGAGACAGTAAGTCTAGGCTTTCTGCCAAGAATGTAATAAGGGTGGAAAAAAAACCAAAAGGAAATTTATTCTAACTACTGGTTCTCCAAACTGCTTCGAAAGTTAATAAGGGGTTCTATAGAACTGGTCAGAACCGGTAGCTACCCCTGCCTTTCTGCCACCAAACAGGCAGTTAGGCTGCTTTCCTCCCCTCCCCCTATTCCTGATCCTGCCTTTCTGCCACCAAGATGGTGATGTGTTCACACGCAGTGGCCCCGAGCTTCTGGTATTAGTGTGTGGTGTTTGGAATGATATGTGTATCAATGTGTGTGCACAGTGTAGAGCAAGGAGGAAGTTTTTCCTACACACTCATAGAGCTGCTAAACATTGGGCTTGCAAGTCAATCTGGGATTACCAGAGATTTTCAGCAGTCCCACAACATACTGAATTGCATAGTGAGGCTTCCGGGATCTCCATGGATTGTCGTCGGGTCAGGGAGATGCTGATGAAAGCAAATGAAAACAAAAGTGCAGCTTAGAGCTGGTCTGTTGGCTCAGCTCCAAAAGCAGCCCCATAGGCTAGCACTGCCAAGTGTCTTTTTGAGCAATGCCAAATCCCTCATCCACACAATTGATGAATTAGAGCTGCAGATGGCAGCAAGCAGGCTTATCCGTAAAAGCTGTGTGATGATTGTAACAGAGACCTGGCTACATCCAGCTATTCCTGATGTGGCAGTGGAGTTGACAAGCTGAGTCATTTATTGCTCTAATAGAAATGGCAACTCCGGTAAGAGCAAGGGAGGAGGACTCTGTATCTATATACACAGTGACTGGTGAGTTAACAGCAAAGTAGTTTATATGTATTGCTCCCCAATGTGGAACTGATGACTGTCACATGTAGGCCATTTTATCTGCCTAAAGAAATCACTGTGATAATTATTATAGCTGTTTATATTCCACCTGATGCCAATGTCATCATGGTGCTTTCTAAGCTATATCACATCATCTCCAGGCAGCAGCAAACTCACCCAGAGGGTGCTCTTATCATGGCTGGGGACTTTAGTCAAGCTTATTTAAAGACAGTTCTCCCTACGTTTGTGCAGTACATGAAATTTTTCACCAGATGGAAGAACACTTTAGACCATGTATACTCTAACCTGAAACAGGCGTAGAGTAATTCCCCACCCCTACCTGGATACATCAAACCATCTTTCACTTCTGTCATGCCCAAAGTATGTCCCTCTCAGGAAAAGAACCTAGCCAGTCATGAAAATGGTTAAATGGTAATCTGGCCAGAGGGTGCTTTCAGTCAGTGCAGGATGGTTTTTGAAACCACTGAGTGGAGTGTATTTGAACAACAAGACCTGCATGAATACTTTGATGCCGTACTCTCTTACATCAAAGTGTGCACTGAGAGTGTAACAACAGATAAGTGGATCAGAGTCTATGGGAATTGTAAACCCTGGATGACTGCTGAGGTACGGACACTTCCGAGAGCCCGGGATTCTGCCTTTAAGGCAGGGGACAGGTCAGGGCAAACCTTAGTAAAAGCATTAAGACAGCAAAACAACAATACAAATATAAGCTGGAGAACCACCTAGCAGATAACAACCTGAAGCAAGTGTGGCAGGGACTGCAGCACCTAACTAACTATAAGGGCAACACGAGGAACATGGCCAATGCTGATGCCTCATTGGTAGAGGAGTTGAACATCTTCTTCACCCGTACGAGGTGAAAAGACCAGACCCTGTAGCTTCTGCCTGTAAGCCTTCTGATTTGCAGCCACTCACCCTATATGAACATCAAGTCAGAGTGCACTGAAGGCTGTGAATCCCAAGTGCACTGAAGGCTGTGAATCCCAGTAAAGCTGCAGGTCCAGGTGGGGTGCTGGGGATAATGGTAAAGACTTGTGCTGATCAATTAGCAGAGTTCCTGACAAAGATCTTTAACAGCTCCCTGCAAATGGCCTCTGTTCCATTATGCTTGAAAACAGCCACTATTGTCCCAGTCCCCAAGAGAACAGCAATTAACTGTCTAAATGACTACAGACCTATTGCGTTAATGTCAGTAGTGATGAAATGTTTGAAAGACTCGTTCTACAACACCTTAGGACATGCCTCTCACCAGACTTTGACAAACATCAGTTTGCCTATGAGGGAACAGGTCGACAGACGATGCCATAGCTACTGCCTTACATACTCTAGCGCAGTGATCCCCAACCTTTTTGACGCCGCGGCCCGGTACCGGCATCAGCTGGGCGCCGCGGCCCAGTACCGGCATCAACTGGGCGCCGCCATCTTTTTTTGATGAAAAAGTGGCTTTCTACCCGGAAAAGCTCACCGGAAGCACTGGCGCCGCCATCTTTTTTTGATGAAAAAGTGCTTCCGGTGAGCTTTCTACCCGGAAAAGCTCACCGGAAGCACTTTTTTACCAAAAAAAGATGGCGGCGCCCAGCAACCAGCGGCCCGGTAAGACTTGTTCCGTGGACCGGTACCGGTCCGCGGACCGGCGGTTGGGGACCCCTGCTCTAGCGAGTTATCTGGAGAAACTCAGAAACTATGTCAGGATGTTTTCCATTGACTACAGCTCAACCTTCAATACAATTTTGCCAATAATCTTTATCAAAAAGCTAATTGACTTGGATTTTCCCTCTTCCGTCTGCGACTGGATCAAAGACTTTCTGAGGGACTGACCACAAACAGTGAGGGCTGGCTTTGTCACATCCACCTCCCTGAAGCTTAGCACTAGCTCCCCACAGGGCTGTGTGCTCAGTGTACACACATGACCATGCATTATCTGACCCATCCACTGTTATCATTAAGTTCACAGATGATACTACCATATTGGGTCTCATTACAAGTGGAGATGAAACAGCATATGGGGGGAGGTTCAAAAATTATCCCCATGGTGCCTAGAAAACAACATCTAAACATCAGCAAGACAAAGGAGATGGTGTTAGACTTCCATAAAAAGAGAGTAACCTGCCTCACTTTACATCGGGGGGGGGGGGGCTGTGTGGTGAGAGTCTCCTCCTTTAAATTCCTGGGAGTCTACCTCAGCGAAGATCTTACCTGGACAACACAACCCAGATGGCCAGAAAGGCCCAACAGAGACTCCATTTCCTTAGGGTCTTGCAAAAGAATAAAGTGGAACAACAACTGATGACCTCCTTTTACCCATCCACAATAGAAAGCATCCTCATATATTGCATTATGGTGTGGTATGCTGGCTTGACAGCCGCAGACAGAAGACATTACAAAGGGTGGTGAGCACAGCATAAAACATTGTGGGCTGTTCCCTGATACCACTAGATGACATTGCTAGGGCTTGCTGCCTTAAAAGAGTGAGGAAAATTCTCAGGGATGACTCACATCCCGATCAGCACTTCTTCACTCTCCTACCATCAGGTAGGAGATATAGAAGCATAGCCAACCATGCTGAAGAACAGTTTCTACCCATGGGCTGTCAAACTTCTGAATGGAAAATAACACAGACTTGCAGGGCCAGTGCATTGTGCAACAAGGTCACATAGTGTAATAAGATTGGGACTGGATTAGGGATTTCTGTCCTCACTGTGAGTTGTGTTGTGGGGATGCATGAAGGGAGGCTCAGCCAATATCATTGTACACATGTTGAACTCTAACAATAAAGATGATGATGATGATGATGATGATGATGATGATGATAATGATGATAATGATAATAATAATTAGAGAATGCTGTGAGCACTATGAAGAGGTATATAAATGTAAGTGCTATTGCTATTGCTTTCTATTTTATTTCCTATTCTCTCCTTGTGTACTTCATAGTGAATTTCTGCATCTCCCTTGTGCATCTGAAGTGTATCTTTATCAATTTATACACTTTTTATTATGAATAATATCACAAGTGATAGGATTGCATACCTATCTTGATAACTGCTCAGAAGTTGATTCACTCCCATTACTTTGTTTTCTTTTAAAATAATCCTCTGTACATGATATCTCTTACCTCTTTCAGCTGAAATTTTCCCTTCTGGACATGGAAGACAATCATAACAACAAAATGGCTTCCCTTCCTTCTTGGTCTTCCTAAAGCCTCTCTGGCAATGATCATTACACAAAGAAATAGGGTATGCCTGTTCCCACAAAAATAAGAGTAATATATTAGCATACAGATGGATAGAAGGATAGACAGATTTGACATTTACTTCATGCTGGAAAATTAACATTTTAAAATGGATGAATGACAAATGCTTATTGGTTTAATAATCAAAGAGTTGCCAAATGGCTGTTAGAACCTACAATATTCTTGGAAAAAAATGTGAATAATAAATATCTTGGTCAAATATAGCTTTTGTCTTGAAGAAATGTCTCTCAATGTACTTTATAATTCATGAAACATATCATGCAACACCTCCACAAAAGAGTTATCACACAAAAATGTCCAGAACAGAGAAATTTATATTGCTAAGGAAAAATCCCAGATAAAATTCAAACTTTTACAAAAATGTCCAGATTCTGTTGAAGAGTTCCTAGGATTGGGCATTCCAACATTCAAAATTCAGTGTCTCATTATAGTATAAAGTATATAGTACAAAAATCCAACAAAGAAAGCACACTGCAGGTCCCATCTGTAGCCAAAGGAGTATGAAATGCTGTCAATTTCCCACTAAAGTTGTGCCTATTTATCTACTTGCATTGACATGTTTTCGAACTGCTAGGTGATCAGGAACTGGGGCAGGAATAAGTGCTCACCTTATTACTTGGGTCTCAAAGCCAGGCTATCAGCTGACAAGCTCCACATTTTAACCACTGAGCCATCAACCCCATTTTTTTTTTAAAACAAGTTTTATTAATTTTTAAAACACACAAATTATCATTATTCATTACATGTTTAAACCTTTTTCCATTGTAAATTTAACAAGTCAGATAAATTATGATTCTATTTTAAACCATTTCCATATAACATACCAAAACCTCTTATTCAATTTCTCTTGACTTCTCTTTACTCTTATTCAATATCATTATTATTACATCTGTTTCTTTCTGACTTAGTTACCATTATTCTCATTCTATATTTCTACAAGTTTTTACTAATTCTCCCCCCAAAAAAGACATATACACACAACACACAAAACGTAAAAAAAATCTTTTTGGAAAGTAACTTGGACCCAGGTGTCTCTCTCTTCATGGACTTCAATTATATTCATGCTCATCTTACATATCATTACTTATTTTATTTACCATTCTAAGCCTTCTATATTAACTTCTCCACATATTTCACACTTCTTAATTCTACCTTAATTAATCATCTTAGTTTGAATCATTATATTTGTATCTTTTGTCCATTTTTTATCATCCCTTTGTCTCATTCCTTATGAAAAAAAAGAAAATCAGTTTCTCCTGAAATCATTAATCAGAGTATGATGCCTTTCTATCTCCCCCCTAAGTTAATCAAATTAATCTTTAAAATAATATCTAATACCCGGTTTGTCGGCTTCACGAGCGGCAGGGATTTGCGAAGCTGCGCGATCCCTGCCGCCCTAGCCGTTTTTGGGGCTCCGACCCACACGGGTACGGAGCTAGGCTGCCCTGCAGGGGCAGCTGAAGGTAGGGGGGATCCGGAGAAGGGACTGGGGGTGTTGCAGACCCCCTCCCTGGCCGGCAGAACCCCCTTTTCCCAGGACGATGCAGCGGCGGTCCGTAATGGCCGCCACAAAGAAGCAGGCAGCCGGGTAAGAATGCGCAGGAGGAAGTGGAGAAAGTGCTTGAGAGGAGAAAGTTTTTCTTGGCTCCTAGGACTCTAAGACATATTTAATAAAATTCCTGAAAAGTATGACTTTCTGAATAATACCTGCCAGAAGAGGAAAAAAGCGGCTGTTTGAAGGTGCTGAAAGGATAGCTTTCCCTCTTTTCCTACGGAATAAATAACTGGATATTAAGAAACCTATTTTTTTAGGTGGAAATTGGTTTTAAGCGATGAGTGGGAAGAGAGAGGATTAAAAAGAAAATATTTGTATGCTAAGACTTTGTTGGAGCAGATGCCTTAAGGATTTGAAGACTAGAATATATTGTAATAAGATTTTAAACAGATTTGGACTTTCTTTCTCTTTGATTGATATTACCCCAGAAGGAGAAAGTGAGAACTCTGCCTTGGTTTGGACTGATTGATAACTTTGGGACTGTTTTATCTTTTTTATTTTCTTTTGAATATTCTGGTTGTTGTAAGAAAAAAGAAGGAGAAAAGAAAAGAAAAGATTTATAATGGCTCTTTCTGTTGAGGAACTAAGAAAAGAATATGAACAAGCAAAAAAAATGGTAAAGATGGTGTGGAAGAAGCTTTCCTTTTCTTAGAAATGGCGCTTACTAATTATCAACAAACATTACAACAGATGAAGACAGCAGAGGAACAAGAAAGAAAGGAAGGAGCCATCTTTAATGAATCTCAGAATTTGATCCAGAAAGAAGGAAGAGAGAAAGAAGAGAAAAGAAGAGAAAAGAAGAAAACTAAAGGACTTAAGGACTTAAGATCTAAAAAAACATTTAAGAAAGGGAAAAATAAAGTGCAAAACCAATATGATGATAGTAAACAAAAGGGAAAAGGAATACGACAGAGAAGGGAAGCCGGTAAGGCAGAGGCTAGAAGAAGGGGGGGTAGAAAGGTTTGTTGGGAGAAGAAAGAAAGGGAAAAGGTGGAGAAAAGCTACAATGTTTTGAAATTAAATGAAAAAAAGGAATTTTTTATGGATAATGGATAAAGTATAATTATTTTTTTTTAAAAAAAGATTTTGCAAGGTACATAAGATGAGATGGTAGTATTGCAATGGTTTAAGAGTTGACAAGAGATTAAAATGTTAAAATGTTTAAAAATGATTGGCTTTAAAACTTAATAATAGGAGAGGTTTAGAATATTGTTTTAATTAAAGAGTTTAATAAAATTATGGTATTGATGTTATTATAAAATTTTTATTATAGTATTTTTTTTTAATATTTGGATTTATTGTCTAATTATGCACTTAATTGTGTTGGATGTATTAGTTAGATAGAATGTACCATCAACCCCATTTTTATATTGTAGTTTTATCTAATTGTGCTATACCACCCAGAGTGAGTTCTGATCAACTATATGAAATGGATAAATTTGGTGTTTCAGGTAAGTGAAAATCTATAATAGACTTTTATATCCATCAACCCATATGCTGTAGATATCAATATCTGGCCATCATGGTTACGGCAATATAGGAGCTATAACTGCAGGCTAACACAATTGGAAGGTAACAAAGCATAGGAAAAAACAAGGACATAAAATCTTTATACTTTATTCCAAAATCATGGCCAGAATGCTCTTATATGATTTGCAGATTACAGTTCAGATCAGAAATTTTTATTTCATTAAAAACATGTGGGGTGTAATGATACATAGAAATGTATTGCACACACACACACATTCACAAAAGCAAGTTTATTTTAAAGTTGATAATAAGATTGACTGATTGATCAATAATTGAAATATTTCAGCAACAATCCAATCTAATTTAACAACATAAGAGTTAATCTCGTAAATATAACTGAAACAATCAATAACAAATCTTTCATGCAGAATTAAACATAAGAGGTGATTATGCTAAGAAATAATTTTTAACAAAGGCTGGGGATTTTGATTTGTTTTGCTTTAAATTTGCTGAAATGGCATATGACCCTGTCTCTTACCTGATTAAATGTTTCTGGCCATGTGATGAACTCCAGATGGATATTGAAGATTTTGTCCAGAGGAGCAAAATGATCTATTCTTCCCACTTTTACCTTAGAAAATGACCTGTTTGGAAAAGTGATCCAATTTATAATATCAAGTCCTCCAATAAATTCTCCATATCTATCAAAAGATATCTTTTCTCCCACATTATTGTTGAAGGAGACACTTCTCAGAAAAGGGCAAAGCTAGATTGGAGAGAAATAGAAATATCATAAAGGGAAGGTAAATTTATTACATTTTTACTAAATCTCAAGTTGATATGTAGGAACTGAAAAGCATGTTACATCCTTTTGCTATCGCTTAAACAGTAACTACACAATTCACATTTCAGTTGGGATGAGTTGTGGTTCTTCAGATATGAGAGGATGAGAACATGCATTTTTCCATAGATGGAAATTGAATTCTCATTGCTCTTTCAATGAAGCTTTTTTTCGGTCTTTGGACAATTTTCACTCCTTGTTCAGGACATCTGTGTGCTGAAGAGAAGAGAAGAGACCTTGGAGGTCTTCTAGTCCAGCCCCCTGCTCAAGCAGAAGAACCTATACCATTTCAGATAAGTGACAGTCTAGTCCAGTGTTGGTGAACCTTTTTGGCACCGAGTACTGAAATGGGAGAGCGCTCAGGGGGGGCACTGCAAAATCGGGGAGTACCAGAAACTGGAAAAGCAGCTCCATGGCGTGCACCTGTGGGACCACCAGAAGCCAGAAGAGCAGTTCTTCCTGGTTTTCCAGTTCTGGCGCACATGTACATGTGAAGACCAGTGAAGACATGTACATGTGAAGACCAGTGCACATGCATGCACCAGAAATTTGAAACTCATATGATCTTTTGGTTTCGGCTCCCTCATGCACATGAAGACCAGCTGGCTGGTGTGCATGTGCACACCAGAACCCAGAAGAGCAATAGGGAACAGCTGGTATGCCCAGAGAGATGGCTCTGTGTGCCACTTCTGGCATGTGTGCCATAGATTTGCCATCATGGGTCTAGTCTCTTCTTAAAAACCTCCAATGATGGAGCACCTGTGATTTCTGAAGGCAAGCTTTCTACTGGCCAATTGTCCTCATTGTTAGAAAGTTTTTCCTTAATTCCGGGTTGCTTTCTTTTTGATTAGTTTCCAATCAACTTTTCTTGTCCTGCCCTCTGGTGCTTTGTAGAATAATTTGACCACCCTCTTCTTTGTGGAAGACCCAAAAATACTGGAATATTGCTATCATGTCACCCCTAATTCTTATTTTCTTTAGACTAGCCAAACCCAAATCCTATAGCCACTTTTCTTATATTTTAGTCTTCAGGACTTTGATCATCTTAGCTGCTCTTCTCTGAACTTTTTTCAAAATCTAAACATCTTTTTTGTAGTATGGTGACAAAAATTGGTTGCAGTAT